CAACGTTAAAGTTATATTTTGATAACCTTGGTGCTTCTTTAGGACAGGCCTGTCGAAACCGTTCTTGCTCATGAGACCCCGACTGCTCTAGACTCGGTCATTTCTCCTTTCATTTCGCATAGATCCCCGTCCGTACCCATTGCTTCTTCGATCCTTATTATACGGCTGATACCGATCCCTGTTCGGTCTTGGTTTACGATCGATATCTCTCTCGACTTTGTCGATGGGTCTAACAGGATAAACGGACCCGCAACGAGCCCCAGTTGATCATCTTCGACTCTGATCTTTGATTGATATCGGTTATGCACATCAGCCCAAGTGACACCTAGATATTCTATCAGATTCTGCTTCAACTGCTGTGAAGCCACCGAACTTCAAACATTGATTCCTTGGGTAAAAGCTTGAACGACCCAATCATCAGCGACCGGTGGCAAGTCCATCTGTTCCATTTAAAATCGAGATACGAACTCTCTGAGCATTTCATTATACTTTTGCCTCACTTTGAAGAGGTCCAATTTCCTGGTTTCGACCTTGATAGCCCTAGCATGTGCTTTCACAAAAGAGTTTGTAAGCATAGCAAATGAGTCAATAGAATTAGGGGGTAAGTTGTGATATCATATCATAGCTCCCTTTGACAGGGCTTATCCGAATTTGTTCAGCAAGACAAACTCGATCTCATCATCCTCCAAGTCATTTACTTTGATGGCGCATGTGTATGAAGTGACATGCTCGTTTGGGTCAGTCGTTCCGTTGTACTTAGGAATCTCGAGCATGCGAAATTTTTTAGGGATCGGCTTTGGAGCCGCACTCGGAGGGAAAATTTTCTGTACAAACTTCTTGGAATCTAAGCCTTTCAGTATCGGTAGTGCTCCCAGGATCTGGTCGACCATGGAATTGTAGGTTTCCACCTTTTTGTCGTTTGCTTCGATTTTCTTCTCCCTTGATTCTATTCATTTTGTCAGATCCTCGAGCATTTTATGATCTCGGGGTTATTACCCGACTCGTTCCCACTCGATATCTCATGATCGATTCCTCCCTGCGGGTGATCTTCCGAGACGAATCAGTCTCGATTCTGCTCGGTACACGGCTCTAGTTTTGTAACTGAGCTATCGCCGCTTGTTGAGCCTGTAACATTTCAAAGATCATCCGTAGATTGATTCTGTATCCTCAATTGTTTTGAGTATTCTACATTGTCGACCAGCTCCGCCACAGATGCTATTCTCGGGTCAGTAGGGAGGCTTGCATCGATAGCCACATGCGAATTAGCGTCCAACGGGTCTGCAATTGGAATTCCGATGAGAACAACGGGCGGTACCTCGTTACCGGGCGCCATTTTATTATTTTCACCGTGGTGACCAGACTCATTGTCAGCAGGTAGTGGTGCTAGTTATGAGTTTGACATTTTGAGCTTAAGCCTGAAATCAGATACACTTCAAAGAACAAGTGTAATATAGTGTGTGTTATGAAAATTTGTATAAAATAACTACTATTATCCTTAGCCCCACGTGGGCGCCAAACTGTTTACCCTCAAAATCGGATAACAATTGAATTTAAGTGGTTTTAAGATAACAATTGAATTTAAGTGGTTTTAAGGATACGTGGATTAATTTGACACAAAGCGATAAGTTAAGTTATAAATAAAGTGAACAATAATAAATTAAATTCAAGCCGTATAACTTGAACAATTATAGCCTTGAAAAGTAAGTCTCGCTTGAACTGAATATGATTTAAATGATATTTGATATAGAAGAACAGTAGCTTGCAGAAAGAAAATGATATTATAATGCTTTTGGGTGCATGTTACAATGTCATTTACAAATGATCAGACCCCTTTTATATAGCAGGAGAATCCTACTTTAGATACAATTCTATAAAAGGTAAAAAATCCCATGATTTGCTAATCAGCCGGTCTCTCATTGATACGTGCCGAGATTTTCGCCGTGATATTCGACCGGTTACGAATATTTCGGCCTTCTGTTATTTGGTATGACAATATTTCCTCGAGCTCATTCAAAATCGGAGTCGGTTCCAGAGTCACATACTCGATGATAGACGTATGTTCTAACCTCGTACCTTGGTTCGATGGAACCCGGGGTCGATCTTCAATCCATTACGTTCCAGTCCCGATCTGTTATGCAATATAAGAGCCCGGTTTCAATCGTATACAATCTCTAATACCCAACCCCAATGTAGTGTGATGCTCGATATTGATATAATAAGATACTTGTTATCAATGCAATTAAATGCTATCATATATTAACACAATGAGATACTAGATGTTGACATCATGAAATGTGCTTGACGTTGAGCGGGAGTTTCGTACATTTTTTCATCAAATGCTTTAGATTGTCACTCAATAATAATCTTGATGTTCTAATTACAATAACATGCATGCCAGTCGCCTATAAATGATCATTTTTTTCGTATTTAGAGACTACAACATTAATCAATACTGTACCTCTATTCTTGATAGTATATGCTCTTTATGGTTCGTGATGCAAAGGATTTTGTACATTACGATATCTTCCTTTTTTTTTCTCATTAGCATCGCATAAAACACAAAATATAAATGATCAAATTTATAAATTTCTTGCATGAAAATTTACATGTGCTTTGTCATATAATGGACTTCGGTAAAGGTGTATCTAATATTTCAAGAACTTGTGTGCATTGTTACAAAAAGTTTGATTCATGATTTATATTTAACGTGTTCAACCTTTAGATTCTTACTATATGAATTCATTATATTTTTGAAATTTTAGGTTCCATACTCTGTATTGAGAATATTGGGATCAATTGAGCCCATTGACTATATGCTACACCCTCTGCCGCTCTAAATTTTAATATAGATATTCGGTTTAATTATAGAAAAGTAAACCGTGATAGTTGGAGGGGAACAATAATTTCAATATGTCAGACTTGGAGATTTTAAAAGAATACAAATAAAGAAAGAAAGTAAAATAAAAAGTACATAGTTAAAACGCAAGAAGGGATACGATACATGCCCATCTCCTATGAATGGACCCGATTCTTAAAAGAAGAAAAAAAGGTGGAAAAAAGAATAAACCAGATGTGAGATCTAAACCTCTTGGATCAATTATAGAAAAAGAAAGGAAAGAATAACAAGATATACGTGAATTTGAATCATGACTTCACTTTTAAAAGTATACACAATTATATATAAGACTCTTTAAGCTTGGCACATACATGTATATTCAAGTAATCTTAAAGAGATATAGCGATGTTTTATATGGTATAGGGAAATGAGCATGGGTTTATATGAACTCATACCCTTACCCTTAGGTACACCTCTGGGCTTAGCCCCTACAATTATGAACACAACATCATGATGTCTTTTGCGTCAACATATTTTCTTGCATCGTCTATGTTATGTTTATAGCTTCTTGGTATGTCCTTATGCAATGCTTCAGGGAGCTCTTTATAGTTTAGCCGCCGATGAACATTTTACGTTAAGTTTTTCTTTTAATTTTTATCCTTGCTGATTTTTAATTTGAAGTATCTTATTTAATCATGAGCAGCCTATCTAGTAACAAATAACTCTAACACTTTTTATTGTTTTTTCTTACCATAGACATTTTTTTATGGAGAATGTTGTTATATATGAATATTGTTGAGCAATTATCGTTGTCGATTAAAACATTTTCATGTTGGTATCGTTCATATCATTCATTCATTGTCCTTCAATACGTGGGAAATGTTCTATACTAGATGCTATTGGGTAGCTTGTGCATGATCTTATATTTGAATTTACTTGTATGTGATTACATGTTAGTGCCTTCTGAATAAACTTGGATTTGGTATCATAAACTGTGATTTTGTTGTAACTGATGCAATAATACTATATGTTACTAATAAGGGCGTAATCAAATACCGAATAATCTTATGATAAAAGTGAAACCCCCAAACAAACCTAAGTAAATTATAATGCAAGCTTATGTATTAAAATCATAATAAAAATAAGTATTACTTCCCCCGGATCACTTTAATTGATTTTTTTGTCTTTTTTTTTATGATCCACAATATTAGATTTTTTCGGATATTAAGAAGAAATTAATTTCCTTTATTGTCTTCTAAATTATCCTTGGAGTAAAAAGTCTTGAAGTATCAATTATATTTCAGATGAATAAATCTAATTAATGCTAAAAGTTAAATTTCTTAAGAATACAAACAAAAAATAAGGAGTACAAAATTAAAATCTCCATAAAGACACGTAGTCTTCCCTCCATATGTATCTAAGAGCCTGTTTGGCCAAGCTTCTAGGAGGCCAAAAGTACTATTTTTGGTAAAATAAGTACTTTTTCAAAAATTTAACGTGTTTGGCCAAAATGAAAAAGTACTTCTTAGCAGCAGCAGAGGCAACTTTTCTGCTTATGAGGAGAAGCTACAAACTCTAGCTTCTTCCAAAAAGCAGAAAGTTAATTTATTCAAGATAAAAATAACCTTACAATAAATTTATATTTTTCAAATTATCCCTCATTAATTTAATTTTTCTTTTTCTTTTCCTTTTCCTTTTTTTTCTGCTATACATTTATTCTCTTTTTTATTTTAATCAATTTTTTATTCTCTTTCTCCTATTCTTAAGAGTAGATTTTAAATTTATATTGAATAATGTATTTTGACATATTTAAATTATTATGTAAATAATAAGTAATATCAAACACTCAATACTGTTGCTTTGGAATAACTGATATTTATATTAATTAGAATTTTTAATTTATATTTTTACTTTACGTTTTATATTTTAATTGAATTCTTTTCTACTAAATGTTTAAATTTATTTTTCTTTTCTAAATAATACTAATCGCAAAATCTTTACTGTCCTTTTTCGTTATTTGATACTTAAAAGTAGTTTTTTAAAAGATTGGCAAACACGATGAGTTTGCGAAAAGCAATACTTAAACGAATCGGCCAAACACAAACTAGTTATTTTACAAAAGTATAAAAATACTTTTAAAAATAACTAGTTTTTGACGCTCGGCCAAACGGTCTCTAACTCCCAAACGGGAAGCGCTAACATTAGACGGATTTGGAACTTCAAAAATTACAAGCCCCAAAGTTATCAGTGAGCTTCAACGGAACTCGGTTGAATTTGAGATTTTGACGTAGGTTCTGAAATAAAGGGTTTAAAAATTGAGTTGACACTTGTTACTGGTTTCTTCTCTTGTCAAGCTTTTTGATTTTTTGACCTAGGGTTTGAACAACCTTGTGGATCTTCTGTTGTATTGTGTTGTGTTGCGAACGATTAGTATATTTTTCAAGGGCCTAGGTCCTTGATTTGTAGGCCTCACTTTACTGGTACTTTTCCTGGCTTTTGCGTGATAACCAATCACTGTTGTTCATTGAATTGTTTTAATTGCATTCTTATTGAAATTTTGCGCACAACGACAAAAACCATGCTTATTCTTTGGAGTAGTATTTTAACCAGATAAGGTTGTTTCGATTTACCTTGTGAATTGATATCTGGTATGATGGTTATTTCTTTTGAGGTGGGTCACATAGCATGGTATGTTAAAACATCATGATATCGGTGAAGTTATAGTGCAATATGAATGATGTAATTTTATAGTTTGTCAAGTCTCAATTTATTTCTGTTTCAATTGTTGGAAGTGTTTGATTTACTGGATTTCGGTGAGTGAGAAGAATCAACTGATGATTTTATTCGATAGACAAAATTCTATTATATGTTTTGTATAGAACATAATCAACTGCCTTACAATGTAACTAATCCATGTGGTAGATATGTGTGATTGAGGGGCAGGAACTCTAGCAATTTTGACACCCAAATGCATTTTAAATCTAACTTTCATTGTTTACGTATTTTGCTGTTTAATGCAGTTAAAGATGGGGTCTGACTTGAGGAGGTGGGTTTCAGACAAATTGATGTCTCTTTTGGGGTACTCACAGCCCACGGTTGTTACTTACGTTCTTACTCTTTGTACGTTCTCTTCTTATATTTTAATAAACATTGATTAGAGTACCTACATTCTGATGTTAAATTGTTGTGGCAACATTGTTCATAATATCACTTCAATGCAGCTAAGAAAGCTTCATCACCTTCTGATCTAACTAATCAGCTCGTAGATATGGGAATGTCATCCTCGGGTGAAACAAGGGTGTTTGCTCAAGAAATTTTTTCTAGAGTTGAGCGCAAGACGACAGGGCCAAATGTTAGTATTTCTTACAGTTTCAGTTATTTCACTGGGTTTGACTAGTGAGGATTCTTTTGGTGAAACATTGCGCTTTATCTCTTAAAATTCGGTATTTCTTGTTGCACCAGCTGTATTTACAACAAGAAAGGGAGGCTGCAAAGTTGGTGAGGAAGCAAAAAACCTACACGCTTCTGGAGGCTGATGATGATGATGACAATAATGTTGGTGGTGAAAGTAATTCTGTGTCCTCTCAGACTAGGAAAGAGGATACCCATCAGAAGAAGTTCAGGAAGAGGGTTGAGACCCATGAAGACGAAGACGAAGACGAAGACGATGAGGCATAGTGCTTATACTCTTCTTCTTCTTGATAGAATTCGGTTTTGTTTCTGATGGTAAGCTGCCCCAATAGTGCTTGTTGTATTAACAGGTTTCCTTCTATTGACTAAATATGATGGTGCAGGTAGTTAGGAATGTGGGCGATGAAAGACGGGTTAGGAGACGAACTTCCCTAGATGAAGATGACAGTGACAACTCCGAGGTACAGCTTATGGTGTATTCTTTCAACTTTTTTGCCTGTTCACCTTCTCCATACCCAGAACTCCCCAACCATTTGATATTACTTGCATGTTTTGCTGTTGCAGTCAGAAGAGGAAATACTTCGTGACCAAAAGGAGAGGGAGGAGTTGGAACGACATCTCAGAGAGCGAGATGCTGCAGGAACTAGAAAGGTGAGCAATTTTAACATCGTTTGAACCTCTGTGGGCTTAGATAGCATTTGGTGCTTTTATGATTTGAATTCGCTGTCAGGGGTTTGGGTGGAAAGGTATGTTTGAGTAATTGGTAAATCAATCTATTAATTCTTCTGTTTCAGAGTTGTGAAATTGAAGCATGAATGCACTTTAGGCAATGAAAGATTGGTCCCACACAAATACGAATCTAGTGGGGTAGTCTTGTGGATTTGACTATCTTCTAATGCATTTGAAACCAGCAATTTTCGATGAAGCTTTCATTTAAGTTTTTGTTGGTTTAGTTGCTGTTAATTTGAAAGTTTAAGACTGAGGTACATATGCACTTGGATCTTCTATGTTCTATTTGCTATCATATATACCTTCTATTAGGTTCCCGGTCTGAGCATCACATTCTTTGATTGTGTTTGTGCATTGATATAACCTATATTTGAATGTCTCTCTAGATTCTCTCTGCCTTTCCAGGGTAGGGGTAAGGCTGTGTGCATCCTACCCTCCCCAGACCCCACTTGTGGGATTACACTGGGTTGTTGTTGTTGTTGTCTCTTTACCTTATAGAAAAAATAGTTGCTCTTTTCTTCATAAAAAAATGTTGCTCTTCAAAAAATGTGGCATGCATGTGCGAGGATTTTCTGTGTTATTTTGCTAGCTTTTACATCATTCTGTGAGAGGTTTTGATTGATATCTCTTGTTGAAATTATTGGATATGATTTCATCCTGTGTCTACTAATGGAGGTCAGACTTATTTCTTGTGTGCTGATGGTATTCAGTTTCATATTTCTTTGCTCTAATACTACTGTGGTATTTTTGTCTTCGTTAACAGTTGGCAGAGCCAAAATTAACAAGGAAGGAGGAAGGTACTTGCTATAGATACAGTTCCTGCTGTACATGTATTTGTTTATTTTTCTTATTCTTCAGTAGAAAAAATGAGAATTTATGCAAATGAGCTCATACATGGATAACTGCAGAAGAGGCAATCAGGAGGTCTGATGCGTTGGAGCGAGATGACATTGGTGCTTTAAGGTTAGTCACCATACAATCTAGTTCAGTATTCTATTATTATCTTGCATCTCACAAAATCTTCTAGTAACCACGTCAATCCATCATGAACTTGCAACTCTTCTATTTGAAGTTCATTTACTTATCTATTTTGTCCAAAGGAGCTAATTGAAGTTGGTGCGTCGCTTTTACCTGTGGTATTATGTTAATAGTTTTAAGGAGGTACTTGAACTTTATCTACCCCCCCCCCCCCCTCCCCCCCCCCCAAAAAAAAAAAAAGGGGGGGTGGGGGAGCAGATGAAATAGGCCTGTTGTGTTGGGCTTAGGAAACATTATCTTGCTTGTTAGTAGATAAAATGGCAAGGGACATGAATCGGAGCTTTTGTTGGTTGGAGCTTGGATGTCATTTTTCCCCGCTTATTGAGTATTCCACTCTTAAAGAAGAAGGAAAAACTAGATAGATCTGCTTATATAAGTTCAATTTCGGTCCAGCCTAATCTGCTTTAAGATAAAAGACGACGCGATAAGTATGTACAGATTGGGGACATGGTTTGACCGAAGTCATTTGTCAAATCAGCATCTAGTTTGCATGAAAAGTATAAGTGGAGCATCAAGCTCTTTTAATACGGAATACATCTGTATGGATATTTTCATACTTCCTTCATTCTAAACAAGTTAAAGACGCGATGATGTTCTTCAAGCAGCTTTTCTTTCTATTCAATCTTCTGTAGTCTCCAACTCGTGGTTGTTTAATACCCCTAAAATGTTGAACATCAAGACACGAGAGTCCATATTTGAATTTGCAATGCAACTGTGGTTTGCGCATTCACTGTGACCTGTGCCAGAGAACACCAGCTCATGATAATCTATCTCCTCTTCCTTAAACTTCTTGCACTTCAGAGTTGAGGGGAGATAGTACTAGTGACAGGAAAAGGCACACTGTGGCGTTTGGACTAGAGAACTATGTTTCTATTCATCCTTTCTTGGATTGATTGGGTGTGTAATTGAGAAGCACTTATTCGTCATCCTTATCATTTCTGTTTCAAAAAAGTAAAATAAAATTGAGAAGCAGTTGGGTGTTAATGTCTAACAAGGTTTTTGTGAAATAGACTGATCTTTTGTAGATTGAATGGCTTCGTGCACATTACATTTTCTAGTGCATTGCATTCGATACTTAGTTTTACTTTACTAATGTATTTGTTATTCTTTGTCTTTTTCTTGTGGGATTTGGGAGAAGGGTGAAAGAAGAGGGGGGGGGGGGGTTCTGTTATCTTCAATTTAAAATAGACGGTCCAATTTTGGGATGAGGTACTGTATCTTTGCATCTGGGCCTCCATGAAGGACAATGTTGAATTACAGGCCTCAGTAGTCGGATTTGCTATAACTATGTGAAGGATTTAGGGCAGAAATTGGAAACAAATTTACTTGTGTGAACAATTTGTTCGGGCAATCTCAGAATATCTTCCTAAGCTTTAAAGAATATCACATGCCAATCCTTATTATTTTGCACATTAAGTATTTGGCTCTTTAGCTGGCCGCCAATCCTTGTTATTTTGCACATTGTTGAGTATTGGGCTGTTAAGCTGGCATTCACAGATTATTTTCACTCACGTCTCAATTTCACTCTGATCCAGGAAGGTTTCAAGACGAGAATATTTAAAGAAGAGGGAGCAGAAGAAGCTAGAGGAACTAAGGTATTTAGATGAATGTGTATTGTAGTTTACAGTCTCTTATTGTATGGAAGTTAATTACGTTTTCTTATGTTATATAATCTTAAATTATTTCATTCTGGTAAGTAGTCAACGTATAACCATGTTTGTGGTATTTCAGAGACGATATAGAGGATGAGCAGTACCTGTTTGAGGGAGTGAAGCTGACAGAAGCGGAGCAACGTGAATTAAGGCAAGGAAATACACTTCGCCTGCTTTGTTTTGATGCTTGTTCTGTCATAATTCTTATTATAAGATTGCGTTTCCCAATTCATCTGATTTCTTCATTGCAATTGATTCCATGCCGAACTCACTCAGTGGCACTTGTTTATTTGAAGACTTATTCTTGCTATTAAGAGATTGCATGATGTGGAGTGCATCTCTATTTTCCAGCTTAGCAAGATTTTGAATCCCATAGTGGTTTGTGTTTATCATTCTCTTTTAGTAGCTTATATAGAAATGGTTTTTACATGCCTTATCTTTCCTGCTTTGGTGGGAGTCCTACTTCTAGTTGACGTGAAGTCATCCTGTGTTTCTCATCTGTTGTCTCTTTGGGTATGAACTTGATTTTATCTGACTACTTGTTCAATGGTTGTGATAATATGCTGATTCCAGCTCACTCAATGTGATATAATTTCATCATTCCCTTATCATATGAAGATACTGATGAGTACTAACTGAATTCTTGTGAACGTGGAATTAGTGCCGTTCTGCATTTGCCTTTATTAGTTTTTGGTCTAACATTCTCTTAAGTAGACTTTGATTGAATCCGGGATTGCTTTACATGCGCATATGCTATTGTGTACTCAGGACCTTTGCAATTTTGCAGCTATAAGAAACAGATATATGAACTAGTTAAGAAGCGATCAGAAGACACCGATGACCTAGGCGAGGTAATCGATATTCTGCATATTTATCGCTTCCAAGAACATTTTTTTGATGTAATACATTGTTTTTTATTGTTAGCATTTACTGCTTTAATGTCTTGCTTGTCATAGTTCCTGGCATCTCCTTCTCTTTCCTTCCCCCACAACATATGGATAAAAGGTAGACAGGAAAAATGATGTCTAGATCATCATTGCCAGTGATCCTTCCTTGTCTAACCTTCCTTTTGTGAAAGACTCGTTTTTGTTCTATCGCCAGTATTATTTCTTCTATCTTCTCTTAAGGCTTGAATGCAATTTAAGGAGCTTCGATAAAAATGCTGAACATCTAGATTTGTTGTGTAAATTATATTTTCCGTCCATAGTTGAAATAGTGGATGATTGTACCTTTTTTTGTAGTCCTTTTACGAAGTATCAATAACTGGAAGAAAAAACCTCAATTTCTCGCTCTTACCTTTTCTGAACAAACTAGTGGATGTTGGTTGGAGGTGCGCGGTAATCTGAATTTTAGCAATTACTGGAAGCCCTGTGTTATTGTTTTCTACTTGGTTTATTTTCTTATCCCATGTTTAATGTTCCAAATTATTCGTCAGATAGGTCTAAATCAAGGACAATGAGTTTGATGCAATTTTACTAGGGCCACTGATCTGAAGAAGATGTGAACTCATTGTAAAAATATTGGAAAAAAATTGTAAAAATATTGGAAATTGGCAATGGAAATTAAGTTGATTAAGTTGAATTCTATTCCATGTTCCAGTTTATGTCAGATTTCGTGTGGAAATCCCTTATTGTTGTTTTTATTCTAAATACAGTATAGGATGCCTGATGCCTATGATCTTGAAGGCGGTGTAAATCAGGAAAAGAGATTTTCGGTGGCTTCGGAACGTTACAGGTTAGTTATATTGAGAAAGATAGTCGTAACAGTTGCTCTAGCATACGGAGATGCGTAAAAGTGCTATTTGGTCTTGGAGAGTCAATTTTTTAATTAAATTTTTTATATGGGCTTGCATTCTGTTTTGACATTTCCAGGGATCCTGCTGCTGCTGAAAAGATGAACCCCTTTGCAGAACAAGAAGCATGGGAGGAACATCAGATTGGTAATCTCCAATTCACTGCTGCCATACTCAATGTTTTTGATGAACTTAGGAAGTTTTCTAGTCTCTAAGTTTGGAGTCATCGCAATGCAGGGAAGGCAACACTTAAATTCGGGTCAAAAAATAGGAAGCCCACATCTGAGGACTATCAGTAAGTTCTAGTTCCCACCCCCCCCCCCTACCCCCTAAAAAAAAAAAAAAATTTAAGTGTACATACAGAAAGGATGGTATGGAAGAATTGGCTTCTGTGCTTTACAGTTAGCGGATTTTTCTGTATCAAGGATCTGAAGGTATTTGTTTTCCAGCTAAATCTTATTATTCAAACCCGAGACTACTTTGGTGCAGATTTGTTTTTGAAGACCAAATTGAGTTCATAAAGGCAGCAGTGATGGATGGTGTTAATGTATGTCTGCTTATTCAATGTTGTCAACATGTTGTTATGCTAAATCTCCTTTCGCTAATTTCTTGATCATTGGTTTAAGGCCGTCTTTGGTTTGTGTGCAGGTTGACCAAGAGTCTCCCGCTGAGTCAATAGAGAAGTCTATGGCGAAATCAGCATTTGAAAAACTTCAGGTATCAATTTATCAGCATCATGTTGTGGAATAGAATTAGCACTTATGGGATGTTTGGTATGCGAACAAGTTATAGCAGGATTACAATGTAGGGATTATAATACGTGGATTACATAACATGTTTTGTGGTAGATGTTCGGTTCATTGGATTAAAATTGAGATTTAGGGGTATAATATAAAACTTGTGTTTGGTTTTCCACTAGATAAACTTGGATAAACTTTTTGTTTTCAGTTTTAACCTCGGTCTTCTTAAAACACTTTGGGAGAAGAGCTTTGGGGAAGGGCATCTTTGTCTTTTGATTATTTTATCTCAGGATTAGCTAACCTGGGATAGTTATCCCACATGGAATTTAGTATACGAATCAATGGATAGGAATTGATTATGAAGGTCTGCATCTATAAAGTTTTGTCTTTTCTGTTAGAATTCACTTTTGCTCTCTGGCTTTTGCACATTATTGTACTACTAGGTTTTTATTGAGACCATTTTTCTAAATTGACCACGGGTTGTACTTTCCAATTTTGTTGTGTTTGATTATTGAAACTCATTTTTGCTGATCGTCTTTCCTGTATACATTCTTTAGGAGGATAGGAAGACCCTACCAATATATCCCTACAGGGATGATTTGCTCCAAGCTGTTAATGATCATCAGGTTAGGTTGGTTGCTTTGCATTTGTTTTTACTTTTCTTTGGTTGTGGTCGCAGGCTAGTTATAATGTCCTTTTTACTAAATCGTTGTGTAGACACTATTTACAAATTTGTTGCTTGTTGCAGGTTCTTGTTATTGTTGGAGAAACGGGTTCCGGGAAGACCACCCAGATACCGCAGTATCTACACGAGGCGGGGTATACCAAACGCGGGAAGGTATGGATGTCTCTTATATAGAGTATGTACCACACCCTCCAAAAATAAGGAGGATATTTTTTTTAAGAGGCAGAGACTGTTTTCTGGGATAGCATTGACTACCATGCCAAGGGAAGTGGCTGGAACTAAAACAGAATGACGCCTAATTAATTGAGGGATATGCTATCTTACAACTCCTTTTTGATAAGTACTTTGGACTATTCACATAAGCACCAGGAAAGTGCTGATGTTACAAAAGTCCAGAGGACTTCCCCTTTAGTTCAGGAGTCCAAGAAGTCCACCAATTAGTCGAAATCATTTACACTTTTTAAGTTTCCCCTGCAAAGCAGAAGTCAATTAGCATCTAAATTCGACATAGTGTATTGCTTTTGTATTTCATTCAAAGCATCTATTGTTTCTCTCTCTAGACTCCCCGAGTACATTAAGGTTTTCTTCATAAAGCTCTTATACGCTTCCTACCTCTTTATCCCCGCCCGCTATTTATAGCATCCATTAAGGTCCTTGCTATGCCGACTGTACTTCAAAATGATTAAGGAATATCCTCCAGATTTGATTGACAGGAGGATAATGCATAAAGAAAAGGTTTATGGCCTCAGTTGATTGTTCACAAATGTAACATCTACTGCAAGGTATAACCCTCCCTTGGCTGCAGATTATCCTTAGATACATCCTTATGCATAGCAGTCCTTATAGGCATCTATTCTAGAGGAGTTTTACTCTTCCTGAAAGTTTTCCAATGCCAGAGAATATTCACACCATTTCCCAGCAAAAGCTTGCAGCAAGATTTTTCGGTAAACAATCCTTTCTCTTATCAGCTACCTCCTCCACATATGCTTTGTAAATCCTTATTAAAATGGATGGAAAGAAGAGAACATATGTTTTCTTGTTTCCTTTTCAGCATTGCCGAACACTTAAGGAAAATAATAGAATTCTCTCCATGATGTATTTGAATCACCAAGTCCCTACACCCGTGTTTCTTGGTCCAAGCATAGTGCAAGTTATGTTGTCACATACAGCTCCATTTCCTTGGAGGAGGAACATGGTTGGAGCCAGCAAAGAGTTGGCAATCTCAGTTCAAAACAAACTTTGCTACAATTGCCCTCCTTATCTCTATTTATAATGTTGAAAACTTCTCAGTTCAAACTCTGGCTGTTGCTGTTGGGCTCTCTGTTATTTTAGGTTTGGTTTGTGGGTCTTGTTTCTGCAATTCTTGAGAGTTATCTCTCTCTCTTCCTCTTTTTTTTGTTGAGAAGGTTACATTTGTTGTATATATTTTAACTGCACCAAAGCTAGTCTACAACAACAACAACAACCCAGTAAAATCCAATCAGTGGGGTCTGGGGAGGGTAGAGTGTACGCAGACCTTACCCTTACCCTAGAGGGGGTAGAGAGGCTGTTTCCGGGAGACCCTCAGCTGAGATACAATAGATCCGTGACAACAAAACCAAAACATAATCAGCAACGTGGGAGACAACAAATAAATGGAAAAGCAATAACACAAATATTATGCAAAGGTGTGAAACACAACATAAATCGCTAGCAGTGCTAGACAAAACACTATCATACTCGTCGGTACAAAGAGGGAAACCGGGACAAAGAGGAAAACCGCTTGACTACCCTTTAACCTACAACCCTAATGCTCGACCTCCACACCTTCCTATCAAGAGCCATGTCCTTGGAAATCTGGAGCCGCACCATGTCCTGTCTGATCACCTCGCCCCAATACTTATTGGGCCGCCCTCTAGTATAGTCATCCATAATTACAAAAGGGGTACAGGAAGATATTAATTCTTAAACTACTTACAAGGATCCTATAACGTCAACAAAAGACTCTAGATCTTCCATGTATTCTTGCTTACACCAAAAATAGTAAAGGGATACAAAATACATTTTCAGTTTCTGGATGGGGCTGTATTTATCTTCAAAGCATCTTTGGTTTCTCTCATTCCATATTGTCCGCCAAATGCAAGCTGGGACAATCTTCCGTCTCTCTTTCTGGTTGGAGGAGCTACTATATCTTTTCCAGCATTCTAGAACATCTAGGGTATCATTTGGCATAACCCACATGATTCGTTTCAGATTAATGAAAATCCTCCATACTTGTTCTGTTATCCTGCGATGCAAAAAAAGATGGTTGATTGTTTCTGCCTCTGCTCTACATAAATAACATCTGGAGCATAGGTGGAAGCCCTCTTGATTAGGCTATCCTGAGTCAAAATCGCTTTTCTGGTCAAAAGCCATGTGAAGCAAGCCAGTGTTGTCAAAGGCGCGCTTTAAGCGCGCTTAAGCCCTGAAGCGAGGCTCAAAACACGTTGAGCGTTTCGCCTCGCTTTGTGGGCGCTTTAGTGTCGCATCAAAACTCTAACACATACTTTTCCTTGCCAATGAGTGTAATCCTGAAAAGGCGACCTTAAACAATTGATATTTCACTTTATCATGAATTTTTTTTAATTTCTTTGTCCATATATTTGTTATTCATGCTTATAATGATTATTCTTGGACTACTATGCATATTTTTACTTTTTTTCCCGTTGCGCCTTTTTTCATTAAAGCCCATGCTTTATTTGCGCTTTGCGCTTAAAGGCCCAACGGACCTTAGAGCATTTTTGCGCTTTTCGCCTTTGATAACACTGAAGCAAGCAACTCTGTAAGGAATTGTTGAACTTCTCTTTTCCTTTGATTAAAGACCTTTGGAAATCTTTCCACATAGCTTTTATGAATTGTTGAAGGCTTGCTTGTATCTTGTGTATTCATTCTGTAGCTGTCCACGAATGTGGTGATACCTGTGTGGTCACCTTATTTGCAGTTCAGTTAATTGGATTGTCTGTCACTATATTGCTACGGGAATAAATTTTTGGGGAATAGTTTTTTTATCTTGAGGTAGGAGGAGCATTTTTCAAGGGTCCTGCAGTATGGTATGTTAACTTTGGTTGATTCTGTGAGGACTTCTCCACTGTCATTTTCTTACTCCACATCTCTGTGTTTCTATCTTTAGAGATCTTTTAGCTCATCTTACTTTTGCAGATTCGTTGCGTGTTTATTCTGTGTCCCTTTCTTTTCACCGTTGTTTTACTTTTGAGCTTGGTTTGGTCAAAATAATGAATGGAACCTACATATTCATGGGCTGTGTCTCTGCCCAACTAAAGGTGCGGTAGAATGAAGGAACTTCCTAGAGAGGTTTTCTCTGTTGCCCTTGCAGCAATCCCAAATAGGGAATAGGGAAGCCAGAATATTTGGCTATCCTAAATCATGTTTTTAAATTTTAGGAGATGAATCCTACATGACTTTCTGCCTGTAATCTTGTAATATAGGACAGCAAGGCCCTCTGCCAATTCCTTATTTTTTTAGGCAACTCGAAGTTTTTGATCATGAACCGTAAATTTTGTAGTGATTCTTTTTGGCAGTGATTTATTGTCATGGCAATGTATTCTCCCTCATGGTTGAAGCCATTAAACGCCTATTCTTAGCGATGTAAAACTGGAATCAGAAATATGGTTTATGCTTGCTGAAACTAATATTTGCTTCTCACAGATTGGATGTACTCAACCTCGTCGGGTTGCTGCAATGAGTGTTTCTGCACGTGTTTCTCAAGAAATGGGAGTGAAACTTGGGCACGAGGTATGCTTCAGATGATATGTTTGCTCTTACTAATAAGTAGATGATGTGTTTGCTCTTCATTTAGCATATGTAAAGGTTGAAAAGAGGAAAACTGGTTTTCATGTAGTTTTTGCAAGAATCCTCTTGATCGTGTTTGAACTGAAACGTTTTTGCTAATCGAGTTCTGGTTATAGGTTCTGGTACATCAGAGAACATCAAAGGCTTCTGCATTCTGATCTTTATTTATTATCTGCTCAGTTGTTCGCGTAATCTCTTGACATTGTCTTGTTCAAATGATATTTGTACCTTAGGACTTGGACATACATTTTGTCAATCTTTACATCAGCTTCCAACATGTAATGATTGAATCTGTCATGTCCAGGTTGGCTACTCTATTCGCTTTGAAGACTGCACTTCCGAAAAAACATTGCTGAAATATATGACTGATGGGATGTTGCTGAGAGAATTCCTTGGTGAGCCTGATCTAGCAAGCTATAGGTCTGTGCTGTAGTAAATGATTTTATTGGTATTCCTTACCCAACTCCCAAGCCTTTTGATTTGTCTAATCAAGTGTTTGGCTTTTCAGTGTCATCATGGTCGACGAGGCTCACGAAAGAACACTATCCACTGACATCTTGTTTGGCTTGGTTAAGGCAAGTTCTCCTTATTTTAGCCATTAAATCTTAATGTGATGCTCACTCTTGGTCATAATTGGAAGCCGCCCTTTGTTTGGTAACTGAACAATGGACATTATGAACTCTCTACTTGTTTGTTTTGTCAATGCAGCATGCATACATGAAATTGGACAAAAACTCTTGTTACTGGATATATCCTAATTTTCACTACAGTTCAGGAAGAGAAATCTAGAAAAAAATTAATGAAAAAAAGAATCTCCTCATAGAAAGCCTTTTCCATTCGGCTCCCCAAAATTCTCACTTTGGTTCTCCAGGCAAGAAATGGACTTTTCCCAACTTTCTTATACTTTCTTTCAAAGGAAACATGCAACAGAAAATGTTCTCTGTTGTTTTCCCTTACCTAGTTTCCAAGCAAATGATTAATAATGTTACGGTAGCTGGTGGGCTTGTATGGATTGGTGAACTAGGATGGGGAGTATCAAACTTTACATGGTCTCATTTGACCTTCAATTGTGACATTCATGAGTGGGAAACTGCATCCTATATCACCTTCTTGTTGCTGATATAGCTACTTATTTTGTCACAGGATATTGCTCGATTTCGGCCTGATCTAAAGTTGCTTATTTCAAGTGCGACTCTAGATGCAGAGAAGTTCAGTGATTATTTCGACTGCGCTCCAATTTTTAAAATTCCTGGAAGGCGGTTTCCAGTTGAGATACACTACACAAAAGCACCAGAGGCCGATTACTTGGATGCAGCAGTAGTCACCGCTCTTCAGATCCATGTAACTCAGCCACCTGGTGATGGTGATATCTTAATCTTTTTGACTGGGCAGGAGGAGATTGAAACAGCGGAGGAGATCATTAAGCACCGGATAAAGGGTCTGGGTACAAAAATTGCTGAGTTGATAATTTGCCCAATATATGCAAACCTGCCAACAGAACTGCAGGCCAAGATATTTGAGCCCACTCCTGAAGGGGCTCGTAAGGTTGTCCTGGCTACAAATATTGCTGAAACATCATTGACAATTGATGGGATTAAATATGTTATTGATCCAGGATTCTCTAAGATGAAGTCTTACAACCCTCGGACAGGAATGGAGTCACTACTGGTCACCCCTATATCGAAGGCGTCTGCGAACCAACGGGCTGGTCGATCTGGAAGAACTGGTCCTGGGAAGTGCTTTCGATTATACACTGCTTATAACTACATGAATGATTTGGAAGATAACACAGTCCCGGAAATACAAAGGACCAACCTTGCAAATGTCGTGCTCTCTCTCAAGAGCCTTGGGATTCATGACTTGCTGAATTTTGACTTCATGGACCCCCCGCCAGCAGAAGCTCTACTTAAAGCGCTGGAACTGCTCTTTGCCCTTAGTGCCCTTAATAAGCTTGGCGAGTTAACAAAAGTAGGTAGAAGAATGGCCGAGTTTCCTCTAGATCCGATGCTGTCCAAGATGATTGTTGCCTCTGACAAATACAAGTGCTCTGATGAAATAATAAGTATTGCTGCAATGCTTTCTGTGGGGAATTCTATCTTCTATCGTCCAAAGGACAAACAAGTCCACGCGGACAATGCACGGATGAACTTTCACATGGGCAATGTGGGAGATCATATTGCTTTGCTAAAGGTTAGTTGCTGTATGATAATAAACCTGTTTTGGTACAATCATATTCCTGGTCAATATAGGTTTTTGTGGCATGATGATGCGCTTTGCATATCTTCTTACTTCATATTTGTATCTTCCCCTTGGTCAATCCTGCCTCTGAAGTATACCCCAATGGGTAGAGACAAAGTAGAAACAAGTTTCCATATGGTGGACTTGCCTCCAAGAGGTAGTTTTCTGGGGTCGGAGGTAGGCATGACAAATTTTCTGACTGTTGAACAGTAAACCAGAATAAAGAAATGTCTTATATGATCAGGTGAAATTAAGTGCTACCATGCGGGTATATATTTCTTTTGGTGTCAGGGGGAGGGTACGTCTGTAGGATGTTAAAGAAAATGCAATGTCTTTATCACACTTCAAAATAATTGTCATGTCATGATAACACACTATCATTATTTATTGACTTGAAATTTAGCTGGCTACCTTCAAATAAACAAAAGAAAATCTAGTTTGCAGCTTGAATGCATGCTAAAAATGGCTTTCTTCTTTGTCTACTGTTGTTCTTCAGGTTTATAATTCCTGGAAGGAAACAAACTTCTCAACGCAGTGGTGCTATGAGAACTACATCCAGGTTAGTATCAAATTCTTGTTTTATGCTGTGACAGTCTCCTCTTTTTCATGAAAGACATTTAATAGCTAAATAAAATGCATCCAGGTTAGTTTCAAATTCTTGTTCTACGCTGAGTTAGCTCTCTTCTTTTCCTTGTTGAAGGAAGCCATCTAGCCCAATAAAATTTGTATTTAGCTTTGAATCATGATTCTGTTGCTACAAAAATATTTTAGTGCTATCATGTTTTGTTTAAATTTCACCAGTGTCATTAGAAGATCATTTTATCCACGGGGCTTTAACTAAAAGGGGCACTTATTATTAGCAATAAAGAAAAGGCCATTGATATTTTTCCATTCTGTAGATTTTTATAATAAGATGGGCTTAAATGGAGCGACATGGAGTAGAATTCATAGGACCAAACTCAATTTGATTGTGATTGAGGCTTGTTGTATTGTTGTATCACATACATGGCTACGGGAGGAAATTGCCCCTGACAGGATTGCAACTTTTATGGAAGGGGTTGGGGGGAGTGATTGTAACTTTAAGTGATGAGTGATGTTGATTCATCATTGTTACTTGTAATGTTTAATGAAATGCTCTTTTAACTTTCTAGGTCAGAAGCATGAAGAGAGCCAGAGATATCCGAGATCAATTGGAGGGCCTGCTGGAAAGGGTGGAAATTGAGTTGACTTCAAATATTAATGACTTGGAAGGTATAAAGAAGTCTATTACATCGGGATTTTTCCCCCACTCAGCAAAACTACAAAAGAATGGGTCTTATCGAACTGTTAAACATGCCCAGACAGTTCACATTCACCCCAGCTCAGGTTTAGCACAGGTAAAGGATTTTGTTTACTTAGAGATGGAAAAATAAGTAGAAAAAGATGTTGCAAGTTACAAGAAGCTCTAATGCATTGTTTGCTCGTGATGTTAAATCTAGGATAACTAATCCATGTATTATTTTATACACCAATTGGTCTATTATCTTATCCCACCACCATGGAATAACTAATCTATCTACAAGCTATACATGTGTACAAGCACCAAAAGGACAAAAGCACCTTTTGTCTTTTTTCTAAAAGCCTATGAAGACCAAATATCCAACTTCCAAGGGTATAATTATAAATTCATTATTTTTTAGTTTAAAAAGTAAACAAATAACTTAGATGATACTTTGTATACCCAATTTTAGTGCAATGAACCAAACACCCAACAAGAAATAATCCATGTACTATTAATTTTCGTATTATTAATCCCTGCATTACTACTTCCTACATTATAATCAATGTATAACTTGTGTTCGAACCAAACGACCCCTAAGTGTTTGGGAATGTGAGTCTCAATGTCTCTTTTTTCACACCACCTATGACTCCTAGAGTTGATTTTACTTTCATCCTCTAGCATAAAATGTTATGTTGCTGATGAAGTCTTCCCACTCATTCATAATATTCCTCCCCATTCCGTACCCAAAAGGGAGTATAGTATTTTTGGTCCTCCATCCCCCTTTTTGCGTACTTTTATGATATCACTCTCTCCATATATCGTGGTTCTTCATATATCATAACCATTTTCCTAATAAGGTTTTTCCGAAAACTTGGAGATCTTTCATTCCAACTGTCTAAGTGGAGTCCCGTAGGAAGATCCTTTGAAGCATTTCCAATTTACCTATGATACTGGCCGGTGCGTGAAGTAATGATAATGCACGTAGAGATGCTACCGGAATCTATGGAGCAGACTTTATTGGAAGTACCCAAGGGTAAGCTCAGATAAGTAATTGGAACTTGGAAGAGTTTAGAGTTCCAACCACAACACTTGTGCTAAATGTTCAATATTGTTAATGTCATCCATCAGAATGCTATCACACTTCTTGAGGTTGATCTTGAGGGCTGACAATGTTTGGAAACATATAGGAACCTGCCTAAGGTTATCTCCTTGTATAATGTTGTGTCACAAAACTGCAAACAAGAGATGTGGACCTTCATTGTATATTGTACCAGATTGCGGTAGAGAAGTCCCTCAAGCAACTACCTGCGATAGCTATCCATTATTTTACCCAACACTTTGAGTTTCAAGATGAATAGCATGGAGATGATGGGTCATCCTCTCTCACGCCCTTGAGCTCCAAAAATCACTCGTGCTGCCATTCACTAGGACTGAGAATTTGACCACTGATATGCATAACTTGATCCCTTTCTCCACCTATTTGAGTCAAATCTTCACATTTTAGATTCAGGAACTCACAAGGTTTAGATTCAGGAATTCACATGATTATAGGCCTTCTCAAGGTTTAGTTAGCACAAGAATCTCGACTTCCCTACCTCCTTCTGGGATCGACTACTTCGTTTGCCACCAAGATGCTTCTAGGATCTGTCTTCTATCCATGAAGACATTCTGAGAGGTTGAGTCTATATTGTCCAACACCTTCTTTGATCTAGTTGAAAACACTTTAGAGATTATCTTTGTTGATACTCCCACTGGACTTATAAGAGGCATGTAATGATTGGTGTTCATTGCTCCTTTTTTTCGTACGATAACTTCAAAGGATGTGTTGAGGCTTCTTTCAAAATTTGGAGTCTCTTAAATCAGTATTGGCAAAGGCTCATTTAAGGTGTGCTTAAGCCCCGAAGCTCTAAAAAGCTTAGGGGTATGCGCTTCGCCACTTAGGCTGCGCTTCAATGTAGGCAAAGCACCAAGGCACGCACCTCATTGCCCATAAATTCTATGTTGATAGAGCGGTAACAAAACAACAAATATAATTTCAAAAATATATATTTATTGTTAAGGAAATCATTATGAAAATAAAATTGTTACTTTTTTTTTGCATTACATATATATTTTTATTTATTTTTGCTTCGTTGTGCCTTTTTAAACTAAAACCCACACTTTAATTGCGCTTTGCACTTAAAGCTTTGATAGACCCGGAGTGCTTTTTAACGCTTTTCGCCCTTGACAACACTGCCTAAAATGCAACAATGGTTTTCATAACCTTTGATTTGACTGTTGAATGCTGTTGGAAGAACGGTTGATGAATCCATCTGGTCCGGAGTCCATAGTACTTGCACGATTCTCTGCTGCCTCCCTCACCTCGTCTTCCCCAATCTCCTTGTCCAACTACTCCCTCATATCATGTCCTAATTCTTTTTATAACCGTGGTGGGCGGGCCAACTTGCGCGCACCTCGACTAATTCCACGGGGTACCTGCCACCTCCTACCAGCAACAAGTACTAGGTAACTCTATTCGCCAAGGCTTGGATAGATGGGAAGAAATCACCTAGTATTCTTTGCCTCCGCTAGGATTTGAACTTGAGACCTCATGGTTTCCACCCACTTCATTGACCACTAGACCACACCTTGGGTGCTCATATCATGTCCTATTTGATGGAACAATAGCCTTTTAAACTTAGCTTTCCAACTCACCTCATGTTTATACAAACATGCGCTATCACCCCTCTTATCTCCTCTCCTCATATAGCCCTCTATTCTCTTCCAAAGACTCTTGAAGTTTAGCCTCCTATTCACCACTGCTGCCTGTGAAAGAATCTTGTATCAGTCTCCTCCAACCACAAAGCATTCGATCCCCTTTTCCCCTCTCAACTTCCACAAACTCATAAACTCTAACATCTTCACCTCTACCCTTCCAAGATCCTCCCTATTCCACACCTGTATGTCCTTTTGGTATTTTCAACTTCTTTTCGAGTTTGAATGATGGCATGCCTGTGACTGCAATTCAATTCCACCAGTGCCGCTACTCTATTTACGAGACTTTATCCTCAGCCTCATGTTCTCGAATCTGAAAGGGGCGTGCGTGCTTCTTCCTCCGCTACCATCTAGCAACTAGCATGATGGGTTAATGGTCCTCGATCAGTACCTCGACTGGGGAATCTGTGGTATGTTCAGTACCATTTCCTTCCAAGAGTTTGATGCCAAGAATCTTCGCTAGCGTTTGGACATAGATTTGATTGAAGCTTGAAAAAAGAGTTTTTGAAGTCGCGTTGAAAAATATTTTTTGAAAGTTGAAGTTGTGTTTGGACATGCATTTTATTTGAAGAAAAGTTGAAGTTTTGTGAGTGGAAGAAAATTTTCACCCAAAAACCTCCCTAAACCAATTTTTGAAATAATTTTTCCGAAAACGCGATTATATTTCATAAACAAATAATGTTTTCAAATTTTTTCTGAAAAAATGAAGTCAAAATCTATGGCCAAATGGGAGCTTCATTTCTCGTTTATGACGTCGATCCTTCAGCCGTGGCCCATATGTAACTAGCTTCTGTCAAAGGAAGATCATAGTACGGTTTACTTTGTATTTTTAGGTTGAGAAGAGAGGCAGTCTGACCTTTTCCTTCTTATGGATTTATTAGTCCTGTGATGCTCTTCCCTGGCAACTGGTATTTCTGTGTGTTGTTTAGCTAATTATGACTGAGCCAGCCAATGGGGTCTTATCTCCCCCACCCCTCTCATTTTAATCCTTCCACGCTTTCAAATAGCATGCACTCAGTTGTTGTGCTTTGTATTTTTAAGTTGTCAAGACAGATAATGTAACCTTAGTGATGATAGTAACTTCATGAGAATCATTTGCTCTTGCATATTGTAGGTGCTCCCTAGATGGGTTGTCTACCATGAGCTGGTCCTGACAACTAAGGAGTACATGCGGCAGGTTAGTCCACCTCTCCTTTATCTCTCTTCTTTTTGTTTCGTAGCAGGGTTATTATTGTGTTTGCTTGATTATCACGGAGATTGTAATTGAGGGTTTTCCTGGCAGGCAACTGAACTGAAACCCGAATGGCTTGTAGAAATAGCTCCTCACTACTATCAGTTGAAAGATGTTGAAGACGGTAAGCGTTCTAGCTCTCGTGTTATTTTCGGTTTCTGTTTGTCCTGCTTTATTGGTGCCTCACAGCTAGACTACATCCCATCTCCTGGTTGAGGGACTTGCAATCCAACATGAACTTTTGGTTTTAGGCAAGGGACTAGTTGCATTCATTTTTGTTTTCAATAAAATATTGATATTTCCATCGGAGGAGGGTAGGATTGCACTTTTTGTTTCATAATTAAAAAACAAAAACCTTTTACAGGAGGGGTCATATAAACTTTTTAATCATTGCCTTCTGTAGTCCCAACTTCAAGTGGCGTGCGACTGCAGAAAGGTAAAATGAAACCCCTTACTTTTGGCAGCCATATGCTACTGCTGGAAGGATATCTTATAAGCTGCATCTAGTTTCATTTATTAGAGAATTAGATCCAACGAGCCTTGCTGCAATGGAGTCATCTGAAGGCGGAGACTTAGTTATTTAGTTTAAAATGCTTATCTGCTTGATGCATATTAGGGGCCAAAATATCCGAAGTATAATCCTTATCTGCTTGATGCCTATTAGGACCAAAATATTTAATGTTGAGGCATTAATTATCATATTTTTTTGGAGGTTTGGCAATTGGATTTCATTCCAGGAAAAAAAATGATGTCGTTCCAATTGTTCTATTTAAATAACGTAATATTGTTATGTTTATATGCCTTCTGCAGCTAGCTCAAAGAAAATGCCTCGCGGAAGTGGCCTTGCATCTTAGGATCAACTCCTATTTTTGCAAAAGAAAAGAGCATTGACAAGAGAGTGGTTTATGCTATGAAAATCTGCTCATTATACTGCTAGGCAGGACTCTGCTAACTGAAGAGGTCCATGGACATTAACTGAGATGATTAGATAACTGTATATATGATTTTGTAGATTGATTTTTGTAAATTTACGGCTGTAATTTTCTGTGCGTGCGTCTTTTTGATGTATTTGTTGTATTAGGGAGCTCAACTGTCTGATTAATGAATTGTGGCATTAGTACTGTGTATTGGTTATGTAATATATAAATTGTGGTTAATCCATTTGTTTTATACGACGAGCTTGCTATGACCGAGTTTACAAAAGAAAATAGTGGTAATTACAGAAGAAAACTATTCTTGTTATGCGCAAGTATTTTAAATTCAACAAAGCTCACCTCTAATTCCTATACTCCCTTTGTTTATATTAAGATGTTTGAGGGGACACAAAGGGGAAGGCAATTTGATACTATGTAGAAGTCTGGTCATAAATTAGCTCACTGCCCTTATTACTCTATTTGATAACTTCATTTTACCCTTTTTCCGACTGTAACTTCATTTTACCTCTTACCCCATGTTATTTTTATCAAATTTTAATGAAGGGATATACTAAATCGAGCAGCATTTCCTTCTCGCCAGTCCTCTAGATCTTGTAATTTATGGTAACATTTCGTTGAAGATCTATATTTATTCTTAGAATGTCGGTAAGAGAAGATAATATTATGTATTTGGAAGTGTCATTTGGTTAGGGGATGTTATAACGATCTAAATTAGAAAGATATGGAGTTGATATGATTGACTTTTTGCTAATATTATTGCGCTCCGGAGTAGTGGTAAGGTTTGCGTACACACTAACTTTCCCAGAATCCACTTGAAGAATTTTACTAAGTAATTGTTGTATTGCACGACAATTTTGTAATAACGACAATAAAAGCAGGAACTCTTCGTGTTGATAATGAGCTCGACGATAGTCGTGCTCGCTCTACGAACGAAAAGGTCCCATTATCAGAACTCTCTTAAACTATTCCTCCTATTCAATATTGAGCAAGATCATTCCACTAGAACACTGAAGAGAGAGAGCTTTTCTTTGTCTTATAATAAATGAATTCGTACAACAAATATGAAAAATGAATTACATGGCACCAATATTTTTTTATTATAGGAGAAGCTTATTGATATAGATAAATATCGTTATTGGTGTACACTACTAAATTGACAATTTTGTGCTTGACATGCATAAAAAAAATACATAAATTATATAAGTAAAAAAAAATCTATACTATATTAAAAGCACAAAGGCCCTTAGCGAAATATCGTTCGCCTTTTTTACCCTTTAAAATATAAAGTTCACATTAGACAAAATAGTAATTTAAGTATTTCATTAATATTTATAAATAATTATTTAATTAATTCTCCTCTAATTTAGGAAGCTATTTAATTTTTCTCCTATTATAACAATCTAGGAAAGTTAATAAAATTTCGCCTAAATTTTTTCCTATTCGTTCTACTCCCTACGGTGGAGTAGTTAATGGCCTTTAAGGTTTTGAAGACCTTTTTGTAGTTTAAAAAATTCTCCCTAGCCTAAGTTTTCGCCCCTACGTGCAACTCCCTATGATGGGGTATTAAATGTGTTTATTTTGCGGTCAATACCTTTTAGGTTTAGGAGATCTTTTTGATTAATTTTTTTTTGCCTTAAATCTCAAACACAATTTCTTTTTTTTGGTTAGGAGTCTTTATTATTTGATAAAATTTACAGTATGTGTGTTGCTTGTGTACCTAATCTTAATATGTAAATATACTTACTAAAAGTTATATTTGAGTATAAAATAGAAAGTTTAACTTTTTGAAATTGATGAATATTGATCTTATATATATCAAACTCAAAAAAAGAAGAAATTATACCCTATAAAATTCCCCAGTCATCATTCATTATGTTCAAATTAAACTTAGTCCAAGTTCTATATATTCAACTTTTCAGTTTTAGCAAGAATACATATATTTTGAAGATCTATGAGCTTTTCTAAAAAAATTGAAAAACTATTTTCAAGTTCATTTAGACAAAGACAATCTTTTTTCTTTCTTGCGAGCAAAATATATGTTTTATATTTTTTTAATCAATAAAAATCTATATCAACTATTATAAAAGCACAAAGCCTCAGAGCGAAGTATTGATAAAACTTTCTACCCTTAAAAATAAATTTCAGATAGGAATAATTTGACATTTTTAATTATTTTTCCTAATATTTATAATTTTGAAATCATTTATAATATTATGATAAAAGTATTAACTTAATTTTTCATTTTTATTGATTACTACATAACGAATCATAATATACATGGTTATTGAGACAAAAGCAATATTCATAAGATATTCTAATTTCAAATTACTAATAAACTTTTTTGTATAAGTTAATTTAATTTTTTATTTAAATAAATATTATTAGACAAGATCATGAATAAATGAATAAAATTCTTTATATATGTGTCAATTTCATGATCAATATTTATCATTATCACACTACTAGAAATTCGAAAAAAACCGACCAAGAAAAATCGATCAACTTTGGTCGGTAAAAAAACCGGCCAAAAACCGACCAAAGTTGGTCGATTTTTCAAAATATTTTAATTTTTAATTTTTTTTTACGAACAGATCAACTTTGGTCGGTTTTCTTTGGCGCAAAAATGCGGTAAACTATTTTTGAGTCCCGCGAAATTTATTTTTCAAGAAACCGACCAACTTTGGTCGGTTTTTGCAATTAAAATAAATAAAAATTTATATTAAAAAAACCGACCAACTTTGGTCGGTAAATTCGGCCGGTTATTTTAAAAGACCGACCAACTTTGGTCGGTAATTTTATTTTTTAATAAAACCGACCAACTTTGGTCGGTTATTTTCGTGCGAAAATACAATTAAAGAGTATAAAAAAAAAGACAATCTTAAAACAAAATGCACCAATGGTCTAGTGGTAGAATAGTATCCTGCCACAGTACACACCCCGGTTCGATTCCCAGACGGTGAATCTTTTGATTACATAATAAAAATACCGACCAAAGTTTTTTTTTTTTTTGCAATATTTTTTTTTGAATTTAATTTACCGACCAACGTTAGTCGGTAATTTCCGACCAACTTTGGTCGGTATACTAAAGCGAACACCAAAATTCCGTCCAAGCGTATTTGGTCGCATTTGGGTCGGTAATTTGCATAACCGATCAAAGTCGGTCAGTTTTTTTGGTCGCTAATTACCGGATTTCTAGTAGTGTCAAGAGCTCAAATTTACTAAAAATCTTATTGTGACTAAAACCATGCTTTGAATACTATTTATATAATTTTTTTTAAATAATTCTCATCAATATAGGGTACACGCGCGACGCGCGTAGGGGTGTGCATTCGATTTATCGATTCGATTTTGACCCTTATCGATAATTACTTATCGATTATCGATTTGTACATATGCTTATCGTTATCGTTTCAATAAGGTTTCGATTTTTTCGATTTCGATGTATCAATTTTGGGGGCTTATCGATTCGGTTATCGATTACACCAATAAGAAAATTTACGGGATTCCACGGAAAGTATATCACTATAAACGCGCCTAACTAATATGGACAAAAAGAAGCTAAAATAAGACAAACACTATTTATAATATAAAAATTGTGTCAACAAGCACATGCAACAAAACTAAAGTAAGGGATCAAATGTATGCCACCAACACTCCAACGATATAAAAAAATAAAACAAAACAAAACACATCATCACGGCTAATTCTGTTTTCCATTAATTTGAACTTCATTCCCTTGATCTTTAAATATGATCATTCCTTAAATGTGGTAGAGGAAATAATAGGGTAAGGGACTTAGGGTAAAGGAAAGGGTATAGATTAGGGAAAATAATATTGTATAGCCGCTTTCAAAATAGTAGCGGAATATATCACATTCTGTATGTTATATTAATCTACACAAAGAGGTAATTACTCATTTAACAAGTGTCTACAGTCTAGGGGTGTGCATTCGATTTATCGATTCGATTTTGACCCTTATCGATAATTACTTATCGATTATCGATTTGTACATATGCTTATCGTTATCGTTTCAATAAGATTTCGATTTTTTCGATTTCGATTTCGATACGAATAATCGATTCGATTTATCGATAAACCGATTCGAATGCACACCCCTAGACGCGCGTAACTTGAGACTAGTAATAATAAAAGGGGAAAAGGGGAAATTTGGGAGGAACGACGTCGTCCTGATATCCAAGCGGAAAACCCCTAGCAAAACCCCTTAGGTGGCCCAGGTCTCTTGCTCTTCCGATTCGATTGCAGTGCAGAGCAAAGCAAAGAGAGACGCAAAAATTTACATATATGATTCGTCAGACTTTCTATTCAAACTCAGCATCAAACTCTCGTCGCTGGATTTCTTCGACAACACAACTCCATGCCTCCTCATGGATGGACAAGATTAAAGGTGCATTTACCGGCGGCCAAAAGACTTCCTCTGAACCTGAATTACCCACCTCTCAGTCATTCACTCTCCCTCGTAAGTATTTTTGTAATACATTGACAGCATATAGTAAGATCCTTTATTGTGTTGTCTGAGTTTACTTTTTCCTATTTGATGGGATGTTTTAGGATTTGCGGACGAATTGAGCAAAGCAAGGAAATTGGGGACTCTGAAGCAGTACATTGTAGGGCGAAGTAGCGAAGCTACATTTGCTGATGCTTTTGAGAAGCAAGAATCTATTATCAGATATCTTGGTGCTTTGGATCCCACTGGAGAGGTTTTCCCCTCATTTTCCTTTTCTCTATAGCACTTTTCTGTCTAACTTGTGAATTTGTTATATCAAGGGGATTTAGCAACCTGAAGATTGAAACAATTTATGTTACAACCTTAGTGTTTACAAAGTCTGAACTTTTGATGGATTTCATAGATTCCATGCAGTGAGAAAAGGAATTCAGAGTCCTTTTTATGTAAAATATTGTGCACCTTCTTACTGCAGTTAAATGAATTTTCACATAACTTAACCCAACAAACACCAATAATAAACCCAGTGGATCCCACAAGTGGGGTTTTGGGAGGTTAGTGTGTACGCAGACCTTACCCCTACCCTGGGAAGGTAGAGAGGTGGTTTCCGATAGACTCTTGGCTCAGGAAAGATGAAACAAAGCAGTAGTCATGTGTAGGATAGATGGAAGAGACTATTGCTGTGACAAGAATTGGATAACCTATTGAAGCTCTTTCTGTCATTAATTATTTATTCTTTTTTTAAAAAAAAAAATAGAATCTTCAACCAATTCAAAAGCAAGAGGCAGCAAAACATTGCAAGTGCACAATAGCTGATGTTGAGAATACATTGGCAAAGTTTACTTGGGCAAAAGAAGCACAAACAAAACTTGAGAAGATGAAGGAAGAAGGGAAGCCAATGCCAAAGAACATGGCTGAGGTACTGTATATTGCATTTAAGATTGCTGCTCTATGGCATATTTTCGCTCTTTGTTTTACTCCCTCCATTCTATTTTATGTGACACTTTCTTTTTAGGATATTCCAAAAAGATTGGTGCATCTAAAAAAGATCATTTTACCTTTAATAAAATAATTTGTTTGAACTCCACTTGATATAAGATCTGATATTTTTATCAGGAGAGAGAAAGATGAAAGGACACATGGAACTCTTAACATCTCTAAATTAATTGTCCGCAGTAAAGACAATTTTGGTACTTACATAAACTCCATGTCCAGCCAAACTTCTTTACATAAAATGGGAATGAGGGAGTATTATAGTTTTTTTTTTAATCTCTTTCTATATACCATATTAGGTTTTCTGGTTGTTTGATTCTTTCACTTTCTGGGATTTTTGTTTGCATTGTGGAGAGATGCATATTCTTTGTGCATTCTAAGAAAAGAAATCTTCAGTTTTATCTTACTTCATAAAAAAAAAAAAAAAAAATCTTCAGTTATAGATGCCAGTAATGTAGGTGCATGTGTATTACGGGTTTGTTGTCTCTGGTCCATTCAACAGCTATGGGCTATGGTGGAAATTAAATAGCGCTTAAGATCCTTCTCATCCAAATACTTGGCTCTGCACAGAGTCTTCAGAATATGAGAAAAGAATGCATACAATATGTTCCAGTATTGGTGCTTCCTTTTTCTGTGGTTATATGAAGTTGACTTATTTTGGGTTCTTCTAATATTAGGTTCAAAAGTTGATGGGTTCATCCCCGATGGATGTTGCACGATCAAACTTGGCTAAGAGTGGGCATATTAGTAGGAATGCATTCTGTCCTTGTGGTTCCAAGAAGAGATACAAAAGGTACTTTTGCTTTTCTCATTGTTAAACATGAACGGCTATTTCTCAATGTTTGAATTCCTTAGAGCAGGAAGAGAAATGAGACATGTTTACTAGATTGCGCTATTGGTTGCCAATGTTCGTGTCTTCTCTTCGTGTACTGCAAAGACTACCAAGCTTTTTCCTTCCTTCTCCTTTTGCCATCTCTCTTGACCGGTCCATAATCCCCAGGCGGTGTAGGTGATTATCAAATGAAATGTCCTATGCGATGCAAGAAACATAGACGTTTCTGTTTCCATGATGTACGGAATCCATACATAGAGTGGGTGTGGATTATTAATCATGTTTGATAGGAGTTCCCAAATTCAATGTTTGTATGGTTTCTGTCAGAGGTGATTTATGGTTTACTAACATTCCAATGTCATGATGTCAATTGACGCTGATCATCTAAGTCGTGGGTTGTTTCAACCTCAGAAACCTTGGCTCTTTAAACTGTTCATCTACATAAATGGCTGCAAACCATCCATGAATATGTTTGCTGGTCTTTTCTGTATGCTTGTATATTGGATATTCGAAATATTTTGTGCACTGGAACAATGAATATGGTTTATAGATTATGTATACAATTAGTATTTGACCATATATTATAATGTTATCTCCCCTCTCTCTGTCTCTCTCCAAAAGGAGCTCTGCTGTGCCTGTCTTTTTCCTCTTCTGTGTTAGCCCGCCCTGCCCCTTTTTTTCACGTGACACGAAGGACTTGCATGTCTGAGTTAACTCATTAGCCCATCAGCCACTGAATTTAAGAATTTTTAGAGCATAACCAACTGGCGTAGATGAGCTGTTTCCTGGAGATATCACCGTAGGATACTTGCCCAATCTCTGCTCTCAAGATCTAGGAGAAAAGGGGGAGGGAAGAAGGCAATAAAGTCGTGAGGAAGAGGGGGATAAAGGAACTGCTTCAAATTCGATAGTGGCTTCTCTAGCCTACTCCGCCACCCCACCTCCCCTTTTTTTGCGCTTATTGTCTTGCTGTTGTGGTTTATGTAGGTGTTGCGGGAAGGATTCAACAATTTAAAGAAGAAACAGGAGAGAATAAGTCGACAAATCTAGCTAAAGATGAGGGGCAAACATGTCCAAAAGAAGAAATTTTTATATTGTCGGAATGGCATTTTCTTTTTGTAGTCTTGATATCCTTTTTCCCTTTTCTCCCGGTGTACGGACTCATTTTTATTCGGTCATGGGTTGGTCAATAGAACGAGAGTCGGCTTCCTTAATTAAGTCCTATGTTCTTCAGTAGCTCAGTAATATTTAGTGCGGTAGATTGTTGATTACTAGCAATAATTCGTGATTCCAAATGATGTGCGGACGGCTTGTCTAGTGATTGATGTGGGTGCCAATGCTATGTCGTTTAATAATAACAATTAGAAATGAACTTGTCTGTTCGCTAATGCACATCAAAATTCACCTTCTGTTTTGGTCATATCTAGTCTCAAGGATAATTGGTGATAAATTAGGAGAAAAAGCAGGTTTTAAACTATTATTATGAGTAATTATGGATAAATTCTGATATTAGCATCAGCTTAAGTTCAGTTAGTACAATAAGTAAGTACAGTACACAATGATGAGAAATAATAATCAGAACAGAGTGCAAGAAAATTTCTTGAAAATAAATCCAAGAATAGTGATCTTTCCAGAGATTGTGTTGAACATTGGGGAGACAACTCTGCTAACCAAACGATTCTTTTGATAGTCATTCATTTGCTTCTACAAGAAACTTAGATCTTTAAGTTCCAGGAGTCACTGCTTTGCTTTTGCTCATCTTTCTATATATTAAAAAAAAAAAAAAGAGTTTTTCCATCCATTGTTGAAAAAAAACGGAGATTCTGAATTATAAAATATAGTATATCAAGAAGAAAATGCCCGAACTAATCAAAACAAGGCAATTTTTTTTTATTGTAGTATAAACTGATTATCATGAGCTGGGAAGCTGACGTTTAAACTGAAAAAAAAGAAAAAGAGAATACATATTTTGAACCATGCAATTGAAAAATAGTAATTTAAAGGCCTGAAGTTGAAAAAAAATTGAAAGAATTGGATCTTCCTCTCATTTCTAGTGCTTAAACCAGGGAAAGGCAACCTGATGTTTCTTATGCCACAACTGGCATATCCTTGAGCCATGCATCCAAAGGTTTCCCAATGGAGTAGACAATGAACCCGATTTCTCTGAGCTTCTCCGCGTCAACAACGTTCCTCCCATCAAACACGAATGCAGGCTTTTGCATGTTATCATAAATCTTCTTGAAGTCAAGTGTTTTGAACTCATCCCACTCGGTGAGAATGCAGAGACCGTGGGCGTCTTTTGTTGCCTCATAAGCATCCCAGACGACGTTAACTTGCTTTACTGCACAAGGGCTCATTGGTTGGAGGTGAGTTGGATGATCCCAGTCAAACTTTTTCATTGAGAGATCCTTTGTTATTTGATCCTCAGTGACCTGTGGATCATATATACTCAAGTGTGCATTGTCTCCCAACAAGCCTTTACACACATCAATTGCAGGAGTTTCCCTAGTATCACCTGTGTCTTTCTTGAAGGCAAATCCAAGAATTGCAACCTTCTTTCCAGAAACTGTGTTAAACATTGAGGAGACCATTCGGTTAACAAACCGATTCTTTTGGTAGTCATTCACCTTGATCACTTGCTTCCAGTAATTGGCAACTTCTTTTAGGCCATTACATTCACATATGTAAATCAAGTTGAGGATATCCTTCTGGAAACAAGAACCACCAAAACCAACACTGGCGTTGAGGAATTTTGATCCAATTCGGGTGTCCTTACCAACGGCATTGGATACCTGTGTTACATCAGCCCCTGTAGCTTCACAAAGTGCTGACATTGCATTAACAGATGAAATCCTCTGAGCCAAGAAGGCGTTGGCAGCGAGCTTTGAGAGTTCAGCTGACCAAAGATTGGTGCAGATGATTCTGTCTTCAGGCACCCAATGCGCATAAACTTCTTTGAGGGCGTGGATCGCCTTTTGCCCTTCAGGGGTATCTCTTCCTCCAATTAGAACACGGTCTGGATTAAAAAGATCCTGAATTGCAGTTCCTTCAGCAAGAAATTCTGGATTCGAGAGGATTTGATAATTAATTCCCTTGCTATTATGGGTGAGTATTTTCTCGATTGCCTCAGCTGTTTTCACAGGAACAGTTGATTTCTCCACAACAATCTTATCGTTCTTGGATACGTCTGCTATCATTCGAGCAGCACTCTCCCAGTAGGTAAGGTCTGCAGCTTTTCCAGCTCCAAGTCCTCGAGTTTTCGTTGGGGTGTTAACAGAAACAAAAATGATGTCTGCTTCAGCAACATGTTTCTCTACTTCAGTGCTGAAGAAAAGGTTCTTTCCTCGGCGTTGCTTCACCACATCATCAAGTCCAGGCTCATAGATAGGCAGCTGATCGCTGTTCCATGCTGCAATTCGGGCAACAGAGATATCAACAACAGCTACTTCAATTGAGGGGCACTTGAGGGCAATGACTGCCATCGTCGGTCCACCAACATATCCAGCTCCAATGCAACAAATCTTCACCATTTTTGTCCTGCAATATGAAACCTGGTAAATAGGGAAGGATTAGATTCAGAACCAAGCTTGTCTGCAGTATCCTAATTATTATTTTAACAGAAGTTAATGCTTCATTTGGTCCCTCATTAAGATAGGCTGTAAGGTAACAGGAAATTTATCCAGCAAAAAGCTGTAAGTTTCAATCTAGGTGTCATCTTTACATTTGAACTTGCATTAATAAAGAAAAGTATAGCATCTTATGAAAGGAATCATATCCCACAGCCAAAGGGATATCTCTTTTTATTTGTCCAATTAACAACCACCATGTTCTCCCAATGTCCTAATCAGCCTCCACAATATGACTTTCATATGTGAATGCTCTGGTTACAGATACAAAGAGAACTGGATAAACTCCGCTAGATCTTTTTCTTTTCTTTTTTGTGCCCTCATAAAAGGGTTGCATCGACATGCCAAAGGCGTGTCAATATCAGTGCACCAGGATAATTCCAATCAGAGCATATAATATAAAGTTGATATTATAAATATAGAAGCTTTTCAGATAGTAGTTAATTTAGACTTGCAAGCATCATCAAATGCATTAAGTCTATGGCACAAGTATGTAGTATCAAAGCATATGTTACCAATGGCGGAGGTAGGATTTCCGCTAAGAAAAAGTTAAAAAATTGAAAGGGATTGTGGCCAGCAACCTCACAAAGGCTTTGAGCCCCGTGACCACTGAGCTATGTTTTTAAGCTATAGCAAGGGGATTCAATATAATATATAGAGGTATAAAACAGTGTAATTTTCCGGCAAGGGGGTTTAGTGAACCCCCTTCCGCCCCTAAATCCGCCCCTGTATGTTACCAACAAGATCTTATTACCAATGCACAGGAATACACAAAGAAACTGAAATTAAGAAAAGCTGAAGTAAAAAAGAGAGGAAGGAGCAAACTGAGACAGTTTTACACAAAAATTGAACTAGAAATCTGCATTGAGAAACTACAACTATAAAACCACTTCAATAAAAGTTACCTCAAGGATTTCCCACTAACTTTTAAGAAGAAAAGATATGTCTTGATTCTGAAATGAAATGTTGTTATAAAAGGGAGTCGAAGAGATTCAGTGATGGTATACAAAGATGTGGAAAGACCACTTTATATAATGGAAAAGAGACTAAATGGTGTAAGCCAATGAACTCTCAAAAACTAAGTAAAGTGCCAAACGTAAGATTTAAAGTCTGATTCAAAATGTTGAACACGTTTTCAAGAGGGACCTTTCAGTAACTAACAAGGTAAATTCCACCATCTCTTTCTGCCTTTTCCCTTCAGCAAAGACACAGACTTTACACTTGGACTGGTTTCTGACCACTCCCTCAACCATGTTTCAATTTTGAAACAATGGTTTAATACTCTTACCAACCTTTTTCTGCTAGAATTAAAGTTCATTGCACGGTTAATGTAACTGATGGTGTATTTACACAATCAGATCATCAAGTAAATACAGTTTAAAGTTCACTAAAGTGAAAAAAAGTAAGTGTATATAATTTAAATGCCTATGCAAAGTTCCGTGGCGGAGCTAGCACTTGCTTATAGGTTCGCCCGAACCCAATATCTTTATTTTAAATTCTATATTTATTTTAAAAAATTCATTGGATAAGTATAAATTATTAATTTGAAAACCAGTAACTTAAAAGGATTAGAATCCCGAATCCAAAAATTTCGAATCCGTGCTCCGTCTCTGCAAAAGTTCTATTGTGACACATTATAATGGGAAACACGTAAAATAGATTGGAAAAGGGGTTTTAAACAAGCCAAAAAAAAAAAGAGTCTTGGTTTATGATCACTTATGTTGTCCGAACTCTCCGAAAATGTGGACGGGTATGTGTCAGACCCCCAAAAATAGTATATTTTTTGGAGAATCCGATACGGGTGCGACACCTATTTCAGAGAGTCCGCCCAACATATCACAAGGAAAGTCCATTTACCAAAAGGAAAAAAGACACATTTTTTATCAAGTATATTGATATTTTACTCCAAACAAAATTTACAAGAATGGATTTTGAAAACAAAACAGTCTCACAAGGTGGGCAAAAAACCCTTT